TGTTGTAATCAAGTCTAAAAGAGACAACTATAACCTTGTAATACCTTCATAACCATTGTTATAGGGTAGAGTCTGGAGAGGTTTGACTGTAAAAGAATACTCGAGGTTGAGTCTGAAGAGGCTTTTCTATAAAAGAATACTTGAGATTGAATCTGAAGTGGTTTGTCTGTAAAATAATACCTAGGTAGTGGCTTGAAGAGGCCAATCAAAGAACATTTGTTTGAGTTAGAAGTGACTTGGTAAAAGAACACTTGTAACTTTGTTAAAAGTTAGTAAAACTCAATTTGGTTGAATTGAGAATTGGACATAGTCTCGACGAACTAGTATAAAAATATTATGTGTTCATTGATTACTCTCACTAACCCTTTGTTTGTTACAAATATTACTTCACATACTTGAAAACGTGCGAATTTTTGTTATACATTTTTCAAGTTCCTTTTTAGTGTCTATCTTTTATCCACATAGTGAATATGAGTGGAATATGGCAAATGAAATTTGTCAAAAGTTGGAGTTATTTTATGATGTGACACTTATTTTTTGGTACATTGTATCCAACTACAATTAGTTTTCCCCATAAAAGTTTGTGAAATTAAGTTGACTTTGATCGATTAACTTGGTTGTCCTAATTCTATTATTCATCAAATGACTTCAACCATTATTGGTAACTTTAACAAGTATGGGGAGTGTGATCAATGTGGTGATGGTGTAGGTATTGCATTAGACCTTGTTACCAAATTGATTATTGGAGGGTTTTTTCTTTAAATTCATGAACATGAAATTGGACCTAAAATTGAAATGGTGAAAATTACTTGTCAGAATTTGGTAAGAAAGTATAACATGAAAGTTAGACATAAAAGTTAATTTCTCCATCTCTAAGTTCAAAGTTAGATCAAATATCCATGAGTATTAATTTTAATTTTTTATTTTTAAAATTTTTTCACAAGTAACCATGGATATTTATAGATATTCATAAATATTTATAAAATTTGTAAGTACTAACCCGATGAATACTTATATAAAAATGAGACAATTTTGTCCAACAATACAAGGGACGAAAGACTACTACCCACACTTATTTCACTTGGAGGTGTTAAAAATAACCATGACAATTAAAAATGGCCCAATATATTTGCATATAAAATTTAAATAAAAAAAATACGTTAATTTTTATTTCATGTCCGGACATTTATCAAACACATTCTACAATTTTATTTATTTATTTGTATTGTTTTAGGTTAATTTATTTTTCCAAAACCCTACTCAACCATAACAGGCAAGTAAGTTTTCCCACACATGCTCAACCACATGTAGTAACAAAACAATATGCATGGAATCAGACAAAGGAGTAAGACATTAATTAAAGCATTTAATGCATTAATAGATACTTTATCTCTCTCTAAATCAGACGAAGGAGTAAGACGAAACAGTTCTATGAATTACACTCAAGAAGTTGCAATGATCATCACTTTCAAAACTACTATATAAGAAGCTTTAGAACTCAAGAGAAGATAACAAGCACAAAAGAGAATAGAAGTGTAAATATAGAAAAATTCTAAGATACAATACACATCTCTTAGAAAATATTCTTCAAGAGTTTTCTTGTACTTAAATGATTTGTTGTAATTACGTCTAAAAGAGACGACGACTACAATCTTATAATACCTTCATAACCATTGTTATAGGGTAGAACCTGAAGAGGCTTGGTTGTAAAAGAATACTCGGGATTGAGTCTAAAGTGGCTTGTTTATAAAAGAATACTTGGGTTGAGTCTGAAGAAACTTGTCTGTAAAAGAACACCTAGGTAGTGGCTTGAAGAGGCCAGTTAGAGAACACTTATTTGAGCTATAAGTGACTTGGTAAAAGAATACTTGTAACTTTGTTGAAAGTTAGTGGAACTCAATCTGGTTGGATTGTGAACTGGATGTAGCCTCGATGAATCGGTATAAAAACACTATGTATTCATTGATTATTCTTACTATTCTTTCGTCTATTACAAATATTACTTCACATATTTGAAAACGTGCGAGTTTTTGTTATATACTATTCAACTCCCCTTTTTAGTATCTATATTTTCTCCACATAGTGAATATGAGTGGAATATGGCAAATGAAATTTGTCAAAAGTTAGAGTTATTTTATGATGTGACACTTATTTTTTTGGTACGTTCTATCCAATTTCAATTATTTTTTCCCATTAAAGTTAGTAAAATTAAGTTAAGTTGCCTTTGATTGAGTGACTTGGTTGTCCTAATTCTATTATTCATCAAATGACTTCAACCATTATTGGTAACTTTGACAAGTATGTGGAGTGTGATCAATGTGGTGGCGATGTAGGTATTGCATTAGAACATTGCTACCAAATTGATTGTTGAAGTGTTTTTTTTTCTCAAATTCATGAACATGAAACTGGATCCAAAATTAAAAAGGTGAAAATTACTTGTCAGAATTTGGTAAGAGAGTATAACATGAAAGTTAACCATAAAAAGTTAGTTTCTCCATCTCTAAGTTCAAAGTTAAATAAAATATCCATGAGTATTAATTTTAATTTTTTATTTTCTTATTTTTTTTACAAATAATTATGAATATTCATAAATATTTATAAAATTTGTAAATACCAGCTCGAATGAATACTTATACATGAGACGAAATTTTGTCCAACAATACAAGAGACAAAAGACTATTACCCACAGTTATTTCGCTTGAAGGTGTTAAAAATAACCATGACAATTAAAAATGGCCTAATATATTTGCGAGTTTTTTTACTTAAATAATACATTTTAATTTTTTTTACCCAAATAGTAACTGTGCAATTTTTTTCCCCAACTAGCACCATTCACTGTTCATATTTTTTTAATTTTTTTTTTTCGTTTTGGGCCCAGGTGATCTATGAATTTTGCATATGGAACGGCCCGTTCTGCAACAGAACGGGTCGTTCTGCATCCACTCTCGTGTGTTTTTTTGCATCTAGAACGGCCCGTTCTTAAACCAGAACGGGCCGTTCTAGAGTTGAGTTTTATCTCATAACCTCAATGTTTGAACGACTCGTTCTAAACTAGGGATTTTAGCCCTTTTTAGTAGTTTGAAACGGGCCGTTCCAAAAGCACAACAGCCCGTTCTGGGCACTTCTATGCATTGTCTTCTTTTATCAATGTAATATGAATTTTAATGTTTAGGATTTTTACTTTTAATGCACTATATAAACTATTATAATTATACATTATTTGGACATGTTTTCGTAGTGTGATGTGCATGTTATCCAGATTTTTCATTATTAGCCATAGTTTGACTCGTACAAGTTTTGAATCTATTAAGACAAGGTCCCATTATTATTATCTCGTGTTTTTAAGTTTAAGACACTATAGCTTCATACTTCAAAGATGTTTCCTTTAAATCTAGCTTCAAACTTAGCATTGCAGCTGTTCTTACCGGAGATCTGCCGTAGAGGTGATCCTCCGAGTAAGATTGGTGAGCCTCCTTCGCTGGTACGCTTGATGTTCCAAGATGGGGGTGGTACCTGCAAAAGAGACTCCGATGCTAAAGTTAGGGTTTGTATGAGTGTATGTCTCGTATAAGTAATGCACGTACCTTAGTATGGATTAGGGTTGCGTTGGGCCTTGGGCCTGAGATCAGTTGTGATCTAATTAGATAGCGGATCTCGTCTGGACTGAGATCTCCTCAGATCAGTTATGATCTGGTTAAGTGACGAGCTGACGTCACGTAGCGCGTATTCGAGGTCGTTATGCGCTACGATGCCGAGCTGGGAGCTCGACCTTGCAGTACGGATAGTACAACAACGAACACAATTTACCATTTCAACACAAACACAACGTAGTCTCAAAGACTAACAACAAGTAATTAAATTTATTGAATATTAACATTATAAATATAACTAAATAAATTTATTAAAACTCATTACAAGAATAAAATCAATGGTGGCGGGAACTAAATCCATGACCAATATTTGGACATGTCTTCCTAGTGTGACCAGAGGTGTGACAACATGAACAATTTTTTACATGATTATGTTGTTCTTTAATGTCCATCTCTGTTCTAATCTTGTTGGACTTTGGCCGACCCTTGGAAGTCCTCTTGAGTTCCAGATTTGGCCACATAGTTGGTTGGACTAGTGTAAGTAGGCCAATAATCTTCATGTCGGAGCTCCGACATGAAGGACAATTTGGAGAGCTCCGACATGAAGATTATTGGCCTACTTACACTAGTCCAACTATGTGGCCAAATTCAGAACTCAAGAGGACTTTCAAGGGTCGGCTAAAGTCCAACAAGATTAAAACAGAGATGGACATTAGAGAACAACATAATCATGTAAAAAATTGTTTTTATTGTCACACTTCTAGTCATACTAGGAAGACATGTTCAAATAATGTATAATTATAATAGTTTATAAGCGACATAGTGCATTAATAGTAAAAATCCTAAACATTAAAATTCATATCACATTGATTAAAAAAACATAGGGCATAGAAGTGGCCAGAATGAGCCGTTCCAAAAGTAGAACAGTCCGTTCCAAACTACTAAAAAGGACTAAAATTCCTAGTTTAGAACGAGTCATTCCAACATTGAGGTTATGAGATAAAACTCAATTCTACAACGGCCCGTTTAAGAACGGACCGTTCCAGATGCAAAAAAACACAAGAGAGTGCATGCAGAACGACCCGTTCTACACCCAGAACGGACTGTTCCAGATGCAAAATTCACAGATCACCTAGGCCCAAAACAAAAAAAAAAAAGTTAAAAAAATGTGAACAGTAAATAATGTTAGTTGGAGAAATAAATTTGCACAATTGTATTTGAGTAATTTTTTTTAAAAATGTATTATTTGAGTAAAAAACTCTATATTTGCATATAAAATTTAAATAAAAATAAAAAATATGTTAATTTTTATTTAATGTCGGGACATTTATCAAACACATTCTACAATTTTATTTATTTATTTGTATTGTTTTAGGTTAATTTGTTTTTCCAAAACCCTACTCAACCAGGGTAACAGGCAAGTAAGTTTTCCCACACATGCCCAGCCACAGGCAATAACAAAACAATAGGCATGGAATCATTCCCTTAGCGATTAAAACCTAAAACCGTGTTTCTTGATCAGAAATTCAGAACCACAAACCCAGGTTCCTGAATTGAAGCCTCCCACTCCAACAATCGCTAGGTTTTCTCTTCCGACACGATGGGAGGCGAGGAGAAGCGGCACCAGATGATGCAGAACCTCTTCGGCGACCAATCCGAGGAGGAAGAAGAGCTCGATTCCGAGCACGAATCCAATCCGCAACTCAATTACCCTTCCGTACGCTCCCAATTTTCTCAATTGCGCTTAAGCCGCGTTTGGATCCGTCTCTGAGCTCCATCTTTTCCGTTTTTTGCAGGACGAGGGCGAAGGAGGCGGCGGCGCCGAGCAGGAGGGCGAGGGCGAAGTGGAGGGTCAGGGCGAGGTCGAGATAGAGAGCGACGGCGACGGCGAGCCCGACCCCGGCGAGAGCGAGGGCGAGAGGGAGCAAAGCTCGCAGGAGGTGGAAGCCGGGGAGAGAGAAGAGAGCGAGGGGAGAGACTCCGATAGCGACGTCAAAGACGACGGCGACGGTTACAGCCAGCGCGGCGTCACCAGCAAGCGCAGGGACGACGTCGTCGAGACTGGATCTGAGAGGTCCGAGGAGAACCATTACGCTCCACACGACGACGAGGAAGAGGAGGTTGACGAAGCCAGAAGCCCTAGGTATATATGTATATGTCATATCTCTCGCGAAGGTTTTATGATTTTGTTCTAGGTTTTGAATTGCTCTCGCTGTTGTTGCGAAATTGTGGGAAATTGGGGACAAATGCAGCAGGGATCTCAACAATGCTGGCATTGCGGCTGGAGTCCTGGTCGCGAACTGTTTCATAAATAATTCAGCGTTGTTGTTGTTGTTGCTGGTTTTGGTTTCTCGCTTTAGGTTTGTTGTTACTAATTCCACATTGTTGTCGCGATACTTGAAATTGTGGACAAATGCAGCTGATGTGGCCACATTGTTCAGCATCGGTGTCCCGGGTTTTGGTTTCTTTCTTTAGGTTTATTATTATTGTTATTAATTTCCCATTATTGTTATTCGTTTTTTGGTTTTGATATTTGTATTGTTGAACTACAAATGTCACAGCATCTGGTTAGAAGTTGTTTGTAGATGTTTGTATTGCAAGACATGTTTTTATTGCCAGAAATTTTGGGTATGATTTGAATTAAGATATGTGTGATGCATTTTTAGATGGTGTAAGTGAAGTTAAAATTTGCTGTACCAAATGACAAATTGCTGATTAGATGGGAGTTCTCTTCTATGGACATTTTTGATAAATTATCACATTATGGGAGGGGTGTTTGAGGGGAATTGAGGTGTTCCATGAACAACTCACCGGAGGCCCGGTCCCTGATGTGGGATGGAGCTTCCTTTTCTGTTCTATAATGTTATGTTGATACCAGTGAAAACTTCACAACTTCAGTACCTAGCACTGTTTAACAAATTTATCTTTTCTGCAGACCCTGTTCAACACTGTCTAGCAGAAAGGATAAACTTGTTGCACAGTGCAAAATTAGAGGACCAAAGTAAAAGTTAAATAATGTTAGAGGAATAATGAACTAACTTGGCCATTTTTTGTAATAGTTGCATGACATTGAGACTGATAACTTGTCCTTTTTTCAAAATATAGTGGGTCACCCAGAGATGAAAAAGATGAGACTCGTGACCAGCATTCAGCCCCTGAAATTCGTGATGTATTTGGTGATTTTGATGATGATGAAGAGGAGGAAATGGGGTTTGCAGTTCAGCAGGATATGGAACAAGATTCAAATGTGAGTATTTGGGTGCCAATAGTCACATTTTTTGATATATCTGTGAATCGCCCTAATTTTAAGAACTAATGATATAAGTGATTTCCTGCCTCAGAGATATCCTGTGGAGGAGGAAGGAAGTTATGGAAAGAACCTGAGACCAGAAGATATACTTGCTGATGAAGATCATCAGTATGAATCTGAAGAGGAAAACATTGAGATAAAAACTAAAGAGAAGCCACTTGGCCCCCCTTTAGAGTTGGAGGTTCCATTACGACCACCTCCCGCTCTACCAGAAAAGGTATGACTCTAATTAATAAGATTACTTTTATGAGTGTGAAACCTGTATTTTATACTTTAAATTAGCTTTATCTTGGTGGCTGGAAAATACCAGTAATTTTTGCTCCTCTTTTGTGTAGTTCACTTTGTTAAGATTTAGAACTTGGCATGTGTAGGCTGTATGAGTGAATATCCAGATTTTGAAATGTTTAAGGAAGTCTATCTTTTAGAACAGTTTCTTGATAACTTCCCAATGTCATGGTTGGTTAAATGTTACCAAGTAGATTAAATGGGAATTGAACAATCTCAGATTATGATAACAAGGACATGATGAATACATTTTAATATGTGGTATCACTTCAGACTTCAGAGGATTTTATCTACAAATGAAATGCCTTTTGCAATGATGTGCATTTTGGTAAGATATGTTGAATTTCAATATTCAACTAATTTTTTAATCTCTCCCTCTCTCATGGCAGATGAACATGATTAAAGTTTCCAATATTATGGGTGTTGATCCAAAACCATTTGACCCTAAAACATATGTGGAAGAGGATACTTTTGTAACTGATGAATCTGGAGCTAGAAAGCGCATACGTTTGGAGAACAATATTGTACGCTGGAGGACTACTAGAAATCCTGATGGCACAACATCTGTAAGTGATTGATTACTGTCGTACTTTCTCATGCATGCTACCATGATCACCCATTTCCATTAGCTCTAAAGATTTGGGATGAAGGACATTCTGATATTTTTGTGTGTAACGTCTTCTTTCCTTCTTGCCTTCTCTTACATCCTTCGTACTCCTTTTTACTGACTTTACACTTTTAATTATGACATAAAGTAATTGATTTTTAATATCAAGCTTCACACTGGGATGGATTTAGGGTAATATGACCAAATGTATACTCTGAAGATTTTTGGACTTTACAATTTCTGTTGTATGTATGCCTTAAATTTTGTCCATACTTGAAAAAATTAGATTTTGTTTTGATGCTCAAGGATGGACAAGATTTTTATGAATTGTCTTTGAAGCTCCGATACTTCAATTTGCTTGATGTACAATGTTATTGATGTCAGGTTATGGCGGCAAACCAAAAATATACATACAGATAAATATAAAAATGGACAAAAATAAATTTCAATGTAGAAATAACAAAATCAGGCATAACACAAATAATAACAAGGAAGTTTAGATTTCACATAACTATAAAATGATAATAAAATACCAAGTTCAAGACTTTAAAATTAAAATAACAACAAAATGTTCCTAAATCAACACAAATCATAAGGTAAATGTCTAATCCTCTGGCTCTCCCTCAATCCCAACACAATCGTTATCATTTTCATGTTTGTTGGCATCTTTTAAGACATTCATACTCCCCTTCTCCTTAAGCTTCCTCAAAGTTTAACAATTCCTCTAAACTGTCCTCAAACTTGCAGCTCGACCTATTTTAGAAGCTTGGGCTCGGATAGATCCAATAACTTTATGGCTTGTTTTCCTCGTAGTATAGATTATAGGCTCACCAACTCCTGAAGTTTCATAAACATCTGCCCAATTCGGTGTGGTATCATCAACAAAAACTAATTCATTCCCTGCAGTGTTATCATATAGCAGCCATGGCGGCACCATGGTTGATGGCGGTGGTGTGGTGGGTTTCACATGGCGTGTCATGGTGGCTGCAATACCAAAAGCAGTTAAGGTGTTCAAAGATGTTATGGTGGAAATCTGTTGTTATTTTTTCCAGCAGAAGAGATGAAGTTGTTGGCCATGTGACTTGACCCAAGCCCAATCTGTCTAGGGTCTAAAAGCCTAAAGAAAAAACAAAATTGAAGGGTTCATTTGATCCAATACAAACCCAGCCCACTAAAGTGAAGAAAAACTACAAAAAAACATTAATAGGTTGAGCCATATGACTCAGTCCAAACTTGACAGAAGTTAACACAAAAGAACCTATCTGTTGCATGCTATTTTTCTTTGTAAAATTTTGTTGTTCTTTTTTTGTTTGTTTGTTTGTCCTCTGTCTGTACTGTTTGGTCTCACCCAATTGCACAAAAAAAAAACTTGCACCCACTCGAAATTGCCCAGTTGTACAGTACAGAAAGTGCATCGATTTTGATGACTAGTTTCAACGTGTTTTTTTTCCGACTATTGTTAGCTACCCATTACTTTTTTTCTCCTTTCTTCAACCTTTGACTATTATTCCGCATTTTCACTTGAACAAAGACCGCTATGACAACTGAACAAGGTTCTTCAAGTTAAAATAACAGAACTGATCTAGGATGGAAGGAATGCCATTCTGTGGATGAAACAGACACTAATACTGTTGTCTGTAATTATTGTAGGAAAATAACAAAAGGAGGAAACAGTCGGGCCAAACAACGATTTATGGGGAAGAAGTGAAATGTTGCACCCTGTACCAAGTATCCAAAGGAAGTTAGAGGAGAGCTTTAGGCACTTCTTAGAGTGAAAACATAGGGAAGAAAATCCTGAGACTCCAAATGTGGCTTATGATGACAATGAAGTTGAGGGTTTAATTTCCACATCAACTAGTAATGTTTCATGGAGAAAGAATACAATTAAAAAAGACACTCCTCTTTAATTGCATTCTTTGTCACATGCGTCTTGGATATTTGCTTGCTTGAGTTTCTCCTTCTTTCTCTTTCCAACTAGAGTCTTTGGTTTTCTATAGAACATATTAATTGGCCATTTTTAATCGTATTCTTTTTCCGTGCAGCATTACTAGTTGATGTGGAAATTAATCTGTCATCTTTGCTGTCATAATAAGCCACATTTAGAGTCTTAGAACTTTCTTCCCTTTGTGTCCCTGCTTCCCCATTAATTGTTGTTTGTCCCTGGCTTATTATTCCTTTTGTTATTTCCCCACAATAATTACAGACAATAGTATTAGTGTCTGATTCATCCACAAAGTGGTAGTGCTTCCATCTTGGATCAGTTGTTATTTGACCTTGAAGAGCCTTGTTCAGTTGCCATAGTGGTCTCATTTCAGGTGGAAATGTGGAATAATAGTCAAAGGTTGAAGAAAGAAAAAAAATAGAGTAGTGGGTGGCAAATGATAGTCAGGAAAAGAAAAATTTTCTGGAAATGGTGGCCAGAATTGGTGTGGTTGCTGGTGCAGTGTGATTGTGTAGTTTGGTGTGGGTGCAGGATTTTTTGTTGTGTAGTTTGGGTGAAACCAAACAGTGCTGAGAAACATGCGAAGAACATTTTTTACTAGGAAGAATATGGTGGGCCAGATAGGTTATTTATTTTGCTTTAACTTCTGCCAGGTTTGGGCTGGGTCATATGACCCGACTCATTTTTGTTGTTTTTCTTCACTTTAATGGGCTGGGTTTATATTGGGTCAAATGACCCCTTAAATTTTGTTTTTTCTTTAGGGTTTCAGACCCTTTTCGGATTGGGCTTGGGTTGGGTCACATGGCCCAACAACTTCATCCCTTTCGTGGGAATAAATAGTAGCAGATTTCTGCGGTGGCATCTTTGAACACCATAACTGCTTCTGGTATTGTGGCTTCATGTGAAACTCACCACACCACTGCTTTTCTATAGTGATATGGAGTATTTCCACCCCAGCCATGGCTGCTATTTGATAACACTGTTCACATATTGATATCTGATAATTTGATTCTCTTGGATACTTCACCACTACTTATCTGTGTAGTTTCCAAGTCTTTAAAAATAATTATGAAAATTCTATTTGATATTGATACTGTTAGGTACTTCAACCAATATCATATTAGTTAAGTATCCAAACCTTTAAGAAGTTATGGAAATCCAGTGCACCTACATGAGACATATGAACATGTATAATACAAGAAAGAAATGATTTCAAGTAATTGAATGAGATTGATAGAATTATTCCTGTTTGTAAATAATAGGAAGTAATTTATAATGACAGTAATTTATAATTTTGTTTTATTTTTAGTAATGTACAAGAAGTACATTCTTAATTTGGATTTACAAATTAATATTATATATTGTTTTATGAGTTTTAATTAAAATTACAATGATACTCTGAAGATTTTGGAGTTTACAATTTCTGTTGTGCGTATGAATTAAATTTGTCCTAGTCTGACAAAAGCAGATTTTGTTTGATGCCCATGGATGGACAAAATTTTATGAACTGTGGTAGGTTGAGGAAGTTTATGATAGTTTAAGGATTTGGGATATATCAAATTTGGAGTTGATTATTCTTTCCTTACTTGCTGAGATTATTTCAGCTATGCTTGTGGATTTTGAATAGGAGTATTGTCAAATGTTTATCTGAGGATTTTGGACTTTACAATTTCTGTTGAATGACTTAAATTTTGTTAAGCACCTGCTTGACAAAATCGGGTTTTGTTTTGATGCTCATGGTGGGAGATTTTTTTATGAACTGTAGTAGGTTGAGAATTTGTAAAGGAAGTTTATTATATTTTAAGGATTTGGGGTATCAAATTTGGAGTTGATCTTTCTTTCCTTACTTGCTGAGATCATTTATACTTGTGGGTCTTGACTAGGAGTAATTAAGTTATGCCTTAGCCTTACCCAATGTATAAGTGAAATGAAACTAACGTGCCTTACCTAGTAGGCTCTTTTAGTGATATTACTGAGTTGGCTTCAGTTGTTGAAGGGAGTTTTGCAAGAACCTACTATTTCTACATCCTGAAATGCAAGCCCACCACAAACCCACAAGGATCACTATTTTGACAACCATGGCTATGTATGGAGCTAGTTGGCTTAATCATTCAGTGAGATTAGTGTGAGGAAGTACTTCAGCTAAGTCATTAGTACCAAATAGGACAAAAGTGTGCATCTGTTCTTATTATTGTTGTTCTTCAAACTTTAAGGCCAGAATAGTTTCAATTTAGCTACGTCACTTATTTTATAGTGAAAGATGTCCTTCATGATCGAGTTGAAGTATTACATTTCTTTAAGAAAAGGTATCACAGATTTTTTGTTACTGTAGTGTGAAAGCAATGCTCGCTTTGTGAGGTGGTCTGATGGCAGCCTGCAGCTATTAATTGGGAATGAAGTTCTAGACATATCAGTGCAAGATGCACAGCATGATCAAGCACATCTTTTTCTTAGACATGGAAAGGTGAATTTTGTTATTCTCATGGGTTTCTTGATGAATTACTGTTTCCCCTCAATGGACTATGTTTACAATTACAAACTTACAGGGAATACTCCAATCACAAGGAAGGTTATTAAGAAAAATGAGGTTTATGCCATCTTCCTTGTCATCAAATTCTCATCGTCTGTTGACTGCTCTTGTTGACTCAAGGCATAAGAAGGTTTATAAGGTTAAAAACTGCATTACTGACATTGATCCTGAGAGGGAAAAAGAGGAAAAGGAGAAGGTATAATCAATAATTCAAAAGTTTCAAACTTATATTGTGTCTCTTTGGTGCCATTATCTAATTTTTTTTCTTCAATTTTTTACAGGCTGAAAGTCAAACAATCCGGGCTAATGTGCTGCTCAACCGAAAGCGTGAGAAGGTGAGCCGGAAATATACTCCAGCGGTGGATAGGAGGCGCCAACTTTCACCTGGGTTTTTAGAGGATGCTTTGGATGAGGTATAATTTTGGATTTGTTTCCTCAGATGTCTGCTTTTTTGGCTATGTATTTACTGCAACTTCATGTAAGCATATATATGTACTTATAATTAATTCAGTTCCATTATTTATCCATGTTTCTTTCATTCAGGAGGATGAAACAGATTATTATGATTCTCGTCGTTCTCAGCGTCGCTTTGAGGATGATTTGGAAGCGGAAGCCCGAGCAGAGAAACGAATTATGAATGTTAAAAAGGTATTGTTTTTTTGCTCTCCAGAAATTTGTACATTTTTGTTTGTTTTTGCAGTTATCATTGGTGAGGATTATTTTTGGAATTTTAGTCACAGGGACCCAAAGATATCCCCCGAAAATCTTCCTTCCCACCTGCTAAATCCTCTCGGAATCCAATGGGTTACCAAGATGATGAGAGAGAAGAGTCTGAGTATGAAACTGATGATGAGGAAGATGAGAGGCCTCCTTCACGTAAGAGGGATGAGGATACTGAGCCAGAGTATGAGGATGAGGAAGAAGAAGAAGAACACTATGAAGAAGCAGAACAAGTTAATGATGCATCAGATGAGGAGGAAGAGGAGGTACTGCTTATTTTATTAAAAAATATAGTTGGTTCTAATTTTGCCTGTTGGTTTATTTCTTCGTATTGCTTCTTACCAGTGCTTTCTTACTGTGTAACAAGATATTTTGCATGTGGTTAGTTCATGCAGTTTGGTAGATTCTTTTCTCCATTTATAATGTTTCCATTCTGTGTACCGGTTTGTACTTTGAAGCCACATTTGTTTTTGTTTCTTGGACTATTGTACGTGTCTTCTTTGTGCTCTGTACATCTTGTGGGGAGAGTGCGAAAGTTCTTATGATGAATGCATTGTTTGTGAGCGATGTGTGTTCTCTTCTTGTCAGTTGTCGCAACTGTTGCTGAAATCCCACAACATTTTCAAAGAACCCAACGTTAATGTTGCATCAATGTATATCATGTATTGAGCATCCTTATGCATTTTTCGGTTTTCCTGAAGTGATTCCTGCCCTAATTGTTGTACTTTTAAGTCATAAATTTATGTGGAAATAAGGATGATTACATGATTGATTGCTGTGGTTTCAATACTTGTTGTAATGTTAACATTGCAGGAACCCAAGCAAAAGAGTAAGGAGTTTAGAAGCAGCACCAAAAGGAAGGGATTTGAATCTGATGAGGACTCTCCTCCTAGGAAAACAACCACCCATAGGCGAATGGCGGTTGTGTATGACAGTGATGAGGAATGAACTTCCGTAAGCCAGATTTTCATGGTGAGTAGTCTTGGTATTGAGAATTTAATTATAATACAGTGGAAGGGTTTTTCTACATTGTCATCCAATCATAGATTGTCATGTATAGATTGTTTATTTTTGGAATAATTATTTTAATTGTAATTTCTGGTGTAGTTTTTAATTGGTTGGTTGTGTAGAATCTTTATACTGATATATATGAGAATTAAACTCTAATCTTTAATATATAAAACATACCTACGAGTTTTTTTGTTTTTTGTTCTTCGGGAATCTTGTTGGCCATGAGATGATGAGCCATGTTTCTTGGCAGAAGAGAAAAAAAGGTTCATATTTTTGCCATTCCCTTCCTCCTTCTATTCCATGCATTTGTATTATACTTGATAAACTATATTTTATTATTTTAAAATGCTATCTGATTGGTCCTTGGCATCATTTCTTCAGTATATTGCAATCGGAAGGATTTTTGCGTAGACTGCAGCTTTCGGATGCAGCGAAGGCTGTGATGGGTCATTTTTTTTTTCTCCCTTTATATAGCTAACAATTATAATACTTGATCCTTATATACATAAAGAGGCAAGAGCCTGACACTGATTTAATATTCGTTCTCAGGTTACAATATACATATATGTTGTCGATTGCTAATGGTGATCAGTGTAAATAAGTTTGTTTTCTGTATTTTCCGTTTGCAAATAAAACTTTAGTCTAAGGGCAGGTTAAGTAACGGTGGAAACAGTGCCGGACCTCCCCTTTCCGTATTTTGTGTACTCTTTATTATAGTAGTCATATAGTTAAGAGATCGGTTGCAGAAGTTCACAAGATTAATGTTCTTTATAAACAATTTCTGTCACGAGGAGTGTTATATAAAAAAGCCATAACTTATTTTACTATTAAGCATTTAAAAAAAAATATATTTTCGGTCCATATTTTATTTTAATTTGAGTTGCATGTAATTTACTAATGTGTTGAAGAGGTTGTTAAAAAATGTGACGTATTTCTGTCATATTCAAGTGTTTAAAATATGAAAATAGAGAAATGGAAGGGTGTATTGATTTCAAAAAATATTTTTGATTTTTAGAAAATAATTTATATTTTTAATTTTAAAACTTGGAAAACATGTTTGATTTGACTATTTTAGTAAAAGTTTAAAAAATGATTTTGGTAAAAAATTTACAATTAAAATTATTTTTTATATATAAATTAGAATGATATTTTAATTTATAAATATTTTTTTTCACACTTTATTTTATATTTATTCTTTGAATAATCTCTTCTCGTAATAGATGAATTTTATTTTGAAAATGGGAAAATATTCTTTATATTTTTTTTATCAAATGAATAATTTATTATCTAACAAAAAGTAATTGTATATCAAAATAAAAAATATATATTTTGCTTTTATAAACAATATATATATAGGGAGCATATTAAGTAGGGATGACAAATATACTTGTACTCGCGGGTAATACCCGAACCCGTCCTGACTTTGTTGGGGAATACCCGGTTTGACCGGGTACGGGTACGGGTAAAACTTGATATATTAAATCGGGTACGGGTACGGGTATGTACTTACCCGTCCCGTACACGTCCCCGTTCTTATTTTAATTTAATATTCACTTTCAATTT